TCGATTCTGCTAACAGAGCTTCTTCTGCATTCCCGAGATCTGTACCCTCTGTGGGCCCTCATTTGGTTGTCTGGTTCCTTCTTTTATCATTGAAGATCTTGAGTTCTAGTCTTGAAAATGATTTACTATTGCATTTACTTGCCAGTTATCAGTTCCAGATCCAGGGTGCTACCCCCCAGCTTAGTGACCGGGTCTCTCTCCTCCTGACGGGTCTCCTTCATGCCCAGGGCCCTTTTGTCCCCTCAGCCCAGCAGCCATCCCCTGACCCCCCATGCCCACTAGCACTGCCTAACTCCAGTGGGCAGCTCCAGTGCTAGGCCCTGCCTGCCTTGGTCATGGAACTCATCCCAGACAGTCTTGTCTCCAAGGAGACACACACGATGTCCCTTTTTACTGTTCCCAAGGTAGTATTTGAACAACCCTGTGTTAACCAGGAAGTCAGAGTCTTTGATAGAAAGGAGTTAGGCTGTCCCCCCACCCCATCAACTTATTTACTACATGCTCACCTGTGAATAACCTTCTACTTTCCAAAGCTTTTTAAATCTATCGTTTGCTCCATAAAAGGGCCAATGAGGTAACAGTATCTGGAGTTAGAATGAAATGACAGATAAGACAAGTGAAGTTGGAAAGGATAATGGATCTACCAAAGATCACACAGCACCTTAGGCCAAGCTGGGGCCTGGGCTCCTATCTCCTGACTCCCAGGCCATCATTCTCGCTGCCTATCAGGTTAGTGGGTCGAGCCTGCAGGTAGCATTGGGCGAAGAATCGGGGTGGAAAGACTTTAAATGTCATCTAGGCTGATGTCTCTGGATGGAATCCCCTCAAGAAATGCCCTGCCAAGTATCAACCAGCTTCTGCTTCAGCAACACCCTGCCCCCTCGGCCACACATCCCACCTGAGTCTGCTGTCAGCTCCAGGACCTGCTACTCTGGAGGGACAGCTTACACAGCAGCATACCTGAACAGGGCGCTGCTCTCTCCAGCATCTTGATCCAGTTGGTTGGCTTTCCTTTTGGTTTCATTACAGAAATCTAATATCTCTGAAACTTAGTAATCATTTTCTTATCTTGAGTTCAGATCTAACTCCTTAATTTTCTACCCACTCATTGGGTACATCTGTTGCATCCAAGCACACACTCACACACTCCCTCACATGCACTCACACTCACACATGCATAAACGTTCTCACATATTCTCACACACACTCACATACTCTCACATTCTCACACACTTACACTTATGCAGGCACACTCACACACTCTCACATTTACACATGCATACACACTCATATATTCTCTCACACACTCTCATATTCTCACACACTCTCACACGCACACACTCACATATTCTCATAATGCTCTCGCACACTCACATGCACACACATACACACACCCTCACACACACTCCCACATATTCTTGCACACTTTCTCTGACAGTCACACATGCATACACATATATTCTCTCACACACTCACATATTCTCACACACTCCTTTACACATATACATTCACATATTCTTACATACTCACACCCACGCACACATAAACACACACTTTTGTGTATTCTCACAATGTTCTCTCACACTCACACATGCACACACATGCACACATGCTCACCTATTCTCACACACTCCCACTCACACACACTCATATATTTTTACATACTCTTTCACACTCACACACACATACACACACATACCATGAATCTCTTTTTTCCCATAACAGCCTTCCAAAGATTTGCCCCTGAGCAATCTCTTTTCCATGCTCAACCACCTCTGCTTCTTTTATTCTCCCCCTGAAGAGAGGATTGTCATGCCTTTCACTGTTCCAACCTCTGGACTATACCTCCTCTAAATCCTTCTCATGGTGTGGCAACCCCGGCCAGCCTCCAATCTGGGCTAGACCTCCATGCTGAGGTCTGCTGACCCTTTGAGAATACAGTGGGCCAAGAATTCTCCTCAAGCTTTCATCATGAACGAGAACAGAGATTCTGAAGCACACTAAACAACAAGAATGGGAGCTGGTATTTGTGCCAGCAGCTCTGTCAAGCATTTCAGAAATTCTAGTAAACATGTTCCCATCTGGAGAAGACAACTCTAACTGCAATAATTCTGCAAGATATCCAGTTGATGCTTGATCAAAGCACATCTTGAGTAGGTGGAAAGGTAATGATTCACAGACACCAATTGCTCACCCTCATCAGACAGAGTAGCTAGGGGAAGCACTGAGTTGTGCTTCAATTATCCCTACCCAGAAATCACTACAGTTCAAGAGCCTGTGATTCTGGGAGGGGTAGCTTGCATGGCATACCTGAGCAGGGGACTTGCTTCTCTCTAGCATCTTAATCCAGTCAGTTTGGGTTTTATATGTTCTTTTTTTACCCCTTTTGTTTTCATTACAGAAATAATTTCAAGCCAAGCTGGTTGATTAGGCAGAGCTGTTCCTAGATGTGCATAGGGCAGCCACAGCTTAGAGGGTGACGTCCTTCAAGAATGGTCACTGGGCTTGGCCTCAGGCAGCAAGGAAGGATGGCAGGTCATCCTGACTCTATTCAGGGAGCTGGAGAGATTGAACTTAGTAGCTCAGGAAGCCCATGGCCTAGGTGTTCTTTTCTCATGCCTCTTGGTCCTTATCCTTACTTATATCATGTGAATTTGTATTTGAGATCAAGCTTCAACCTATATCCTCAGTCTGGTCACCAGGTTCCTGATTTGTTCCTTACACTTGACTTCTATCCCAGTCCTCTTGTCTTAAATTATGGTGCCCTGTCACACTCTAACAGCCTTTACTTTCACCAGCCTGCAGCCAGGGCCCTGCTACCACCTAGCAGACCTTCCCAATGCCAGTACCCAGCTTGTTCTCTGCAGGATCTCTGTCCCTAGACTCTCCATTGCTAGGTACCATTCTCCCATTAAGCCTTCAAATCGTATCCTCTGCCACACCTCCCAATGCCTACCCTCTGCTTATCCTTGTACCTAATGACTCACCTGGCCCTAGCAGGACACACTGCTTCCTCTGGTCCCTGCCAGCAGCTGGGTTAACACCAACCCAAGCCCAGGGAACAATTTAGCTCCCAGACTCTCTAATTCTGTCTGGTGTTGCTATCCTCCAAGACCCTTTCGGGTCCAAGCAGCTTTAAAGAGAACGGATGAGAGCCTAAGCTCCAGAAGGGGAATGTGCAGCCTGGGCACTGTGAGTTAGATGAGGAAGGGAGATTCTGGCATAAAGCAGCTGAAATCTGTTTCCCCAGCTCAAGCTACAAGCTGATAGAGCTACTTACTTCCCACCCCACCCCCATCCCCTTCTGGCCTATCTGGCACCGTGACTTTGGTCACACTGAGGACTGGGCCAGCTCTGTGGACATCAAGACAAAGTCATGAAGTAAAGGTTGCAGTTTAAGTGCTCTTGATTTTTCCTTTGGAATATACTGATGGGAACTAACAAATTACCCCCAAGTTATATTTACCAGCTCGTAGGGTATTTGAATTCAGGAAAACAAACTGGTGCTTGGTTATCTGGAGGATATATTTAAATTCACAAAGAACATTTGTGCCATGTGGTGATTTTTTTTTTACAGAAATAATAACTCTCCCCTTTGCTAATTGACATGATAAACAAAGATAGAGCTTCCCCTCTTCCATCACTACGTCCAAAATTCAATTTAACAGCAATTCTCTGCTTAGGCAGAAAGAACAAATGGGCTAGTTACTCATTCGTGGAAAACAGGTAAAAATTTTCCAGTGACTATTTCTTTGAGGTGTCTATTTTAGGAAATTTGGTGGGGAGTAGGTTACAAGGTGAATATCCAACCTTTTAGAGAGCAAGAATCAGGAGTTTCAACCGAGTGACTGCTTATAAAATGCTAGCACACGGAGTGTGCCCAGGAAAAAGCCGAGCTAAGCTCCAGATTTCAGGTGTTTTGCAACCCTGTCCTATATCTGAATATCATAGTCACCTTTACAAAAACAATACCCTTTAGTTAAACTGAGTAGAAAAATACAGTGGGAAGATTACTTGCTATTCTCTAGGTGAAAGAAGATATTTTTCCTAAGGAAAACACTGGTGAGAATAAAAGCCAAGTATTGTTTTAGGCTCTCTCCAATCTCCAAAATACCATTTAAAAAATAATTATGCCCACGATTTATGCACGATTCATTAGACAGATAAAATGCACTGCTAAATTTTAATTGCATTGGAAGAGTAGACATCATGAAATATACCCCAACTTCTTGGGATTATAACCCAGCCTGGCAACATCTTCATCATAATTTAAACTTTTTCCAAATAGTCTAACTCGATTCAATTATAACAGTATTTTAGTTTCATAATTGGATAGACTTATGAAGAATTATTTTAGTTAAGCAATTACAGGGTCAAATGATCTTTTATCAATATTTAAGCTTTTTGTTGTGAAAGTTAACAGGCTTGAATTACAGACAACAACAGGAATTGTCACCTCAGGGGTGGGGGTGGGGAATAAAAAACACCTTAGTTGTCTGCAAAGGAAACTGTTTTTAAAGACCACAGTTTTCCTCGTGCCCACCCTCACCAAGATAAGGGCAGGATGATAGCCTGCATTACACAAGCGCAGGCAGTGAATCGACCCACTAGACACAAAACACCACCTGTTACCCATACGGATTACACACTGAAGCTACAGAAGAACAGCATTCATTATATAATAGGTACAGTATCTTACATAAGATATAATAAATATGATAGACAACATCTTGCAGGATGCAAACAGCCTTGCAGAAGACGCCAGCTGCTGAATTACTAATCTGACGGAGCCAGGGTGAGAGAATGAGCACCTGCAATTGTACTTAATAGTCTTAGGACAGCAAGGTCTGCTGGGCTACCTGCCCACCCCTTTAGGTTTTGAAGGACATCTACTTTTAGACTCTATTCAGGCAGCCTCTTCTGAAGAGGGAGCACAATTAACGGGACAGGCGCAGCGCTCCGACTTCAGTGTCTCCTGTGGTCATTGTTCACACACATACCTGTGGTCTTTAGTGGGGTTTTCTCTCCTAGCAACAGTTTTAACCTTTTGGCATGGATTTTGCCTTGATAATGTGAGTCAGCCACCACTGCCGAGGTAAAGGACATGTTACAGAGTGTACAGCACTTATTCTTATCCACCATATCAGCGTCACTTCCCTACAAGGAAGAAAGAAAAAAAAATAACATTAGAGGGAACCCCGAGTCCTAAAATTTCTTTTTTCCCATTCCATTCTGTTGAAAATAAGATATACCATAGACTTTTTTTTAATTATGTTATGTTAATCACCATACATTACATCATTAGTTTTTGATGTAGTGTTCCATTATTCATTGTTTGTGTATAACACCCAGTGCTCCATGCAGTACGTGCTTTCTCATTGAAATGTCTAGTTTTTGCTCTGCAACCTTTTTTTTGTTCATGACAATCATCATCAAAACATTTTTAGTTACGGACTTCAACCTACATTTATTTAGTGGCTACTAGTGCCAGACACAGGGAATACAGGACACATGTACAAATGTGAGTTACCCAAGGAAAACAGGGTCTACGATGAGGTGAGAGCACATTGTGTCTGTCACCATGAGGGAGACAGTCTCTAATTGTAACCATTATACTCATTTAAGTAAGTAAAATATCAGAGTTCAGATGGCCTGAATTATTTAGCAGAAATTATCATTTGGCATTCAGCTCTGTCTTTCACCAATTTTAGCCTCACCGGGATACATGGCCACATATTCAAGATTTTCTTTTTTAAGATTTCTTTAATGACTTGAACATTTTTCTTAATTAACTGGAGTATATATCATAAAGTTAAGATGACCATGCTGGCTGAATTTTCTAGGAGAGTTTGTATAATTTTCTTTTCTTTGGGAACAGTGATCAGTTAAACCCAGCACAAAATATTTAAATTCAGCTTGATTTTTATTCTTTTGTAAGACAATGAAAGTGAAGCATGAGTCAGAAAAAAATAAATCCTTTGTTAGATCATGTGACCTGGCTATTGTGCACAAAGACCATCAATTACCTATATCATACAAGGGGAAGATTAATCCATGGGCTCCCTTCCTGCTAGTTAGAAACTGAGGGTAAGGCGGACTCTCAGATAAGGAGTTAATCTATTCCTTAATGGGACAGCAATCATGAAGCATCTTTCTATTAAAGAGCAGCCTTGGATGAGGACCTGGCCCTATAATAGCCCCTTCTCTTATTCTAAGCAGGCCCAAAGAGTGCAATTTAAAATGGCATGAGCAGAAGGATGAAGGTGGGGATAGGATGGAAAAAAGGGAATTATGTATTTTCTGCAAAATAATAAGATGTCCAGACTGCTGGAGAGAGTGTTGTCTTGCAAATTATGTGGAAGTTAGAAAAATAACTCATTTCTCTTTAAGGCATTCATCTGTAATATTTCTCTCATAATTAATGTTCATCTTTGGGAGGAGTATTATCATCAGTGTGTGGGGGGGTACCCACTGCCATTTATTCTCTTGACCTTAGATTATTAAATCTTAGTCTGCCTCCCTGACCCCTTCATCACAGTTAATGGGTGAGATTTGAGGAAATGTAGTGGCAGGGGTTGGGGATCATTGAGAGGAAATGGACCCTATATAAAGAAGAGAAGCTCCTTCCAGAGGTCTTTTCCTGGACAGAGACAAATATTTAGGGCAGGACACCTGGTTAAGGCATGAGGCTATGTCTACTGAGTCATCCTTACTGATGATATTTAAAGCTTTGAGTTCCTTTGAGTTTTCCCTTCACCCTCAGAAATTAATTAATTAATTAATTAACTAAATCACTAATTATTTCACACCTTTGTGCTGTATACTATGGGAACTAACTAGACCAAGCAGGACAGGGAAGAGTTGGCGTTTCTTCACCTACCTCTCCAACCATACCTAGGAGATGCCACAGAACCCATGGAGAGAGTTAGAGCCCAGAGATAACAGGAAATTACAAATCAGGGAGTTACTGAAGTGTCTGAGCCTAGTAAATGAGGAGTGGATGCCTCATGAGGGCTGAAAGATCCAAACTGGTACTTTCCATTATATTTTAAGGGATATTGATCTTATATTAAAAAAAAAGAAAAAAAGAAAAGAAAAGAAAAAGAAGGTTGTTAAGGTGAAAGTGGATGCTTCAATAACTCATTTTTCACCTTATTATGCATACTTTAAGCCAAACCATGTAATTTTTCTTAAAATTAGTAGTAAGGTCATAAGCCAAAGCTTATGATCTATACTCTACACCTATTTACAATCTGTGCATCCCTTCTGCACTTCTAGCAAAAGTACCAGCCAAATCTGGCCCTTCTCCCTGGAGCTCTAAGATGTAGACATTTCTACAGAAAGGCTGGAAGCCCAACACAGGGACTGGTATCAGTATATGAAGTATACTCAGAAATAGTTTCTAGGGCAAAGAACTGCCTTTAAACTGGTTAATGATCAATTGATTTAGGATACTCATTCATTCAACACATTTTTAAGGACCTGCCAAATATGTTAGATGCTGTGTTAGATGACTCTGAGTATGACTCTGAGTATGACTCTGTTCTCTGTTATTAAGGAGGTTGGGAGCTGGAGAATTGGAGAGGGCATCAGAAATTAAAGGAAAATAGTATAATCAAGAAAACAAAAAGATGGAAAAACATTCCATGCTCATGGATTGGAAGAATAAACATTGTTAAAATGTCTATGCTATCCAGAGCAATCTATACCTTCAATGCCATCCCAATCAAAATCCCAATGACATTTTTCAAAGTGCTGGAACAAACAATCCTAAAATTTGTATGGAACCAGAAAAGACCCTGAATTGCCAAGGAAATGTTGAAAAAGAAAAACAAAGCTGGGAGCATCACGTTGCCCGATTTCAAACTATATTACAAAGCTGTGATCACCA